TTAAAAAACAAATAAAAGAGGATTGCATACGAAGGTCATATTTTATTTCAATTTTCAAAATCTATTTTTTATTTCTAAAAGTAAAGTTTTAGAAAAATTTAATTGAATAAGTGTTTTAATTTAAATGTTTTTAAAACTATTTTATTTTTAGAAATAACGAAATGGGGAAAAATATTAAGGTTGGTTTCATTTTCTTTTTATATTTTAAACACTATATTTAACTATTCTAAATTTTGAAATTATGATCAACCACTATCATATGTTACTACCATATTAACTACTAGCAATCGACCACCACTATCAACCTTTTTTTTTTAAACATAGTTAAATATATGTTTATTTTATTTTAAAAATAAATTTTATAAACTGGTTTACAAAATAATTTTTGAAAAGAAGAAGTAAGCAAGCCAATTCATTGTGGCTCTATAACGCCAGAAAATATTGGTACATAGCTTGGAAACAAAACCATGACGCCAAAAATCAATGCCAGATGAATTTTAACAAGAAAAAGCAATTTTTTCCACAGATTGGCAGTTGTACGTATCAAAATTTCTTCAACAGATTACCGTATATTAACACAGAACAGGTAACATTGAAAATAAAATAAATAATCTAAGCATTGAAAAGGCATTTGGTTGGGGAATCAGCATCTAAAGTATCAATGTTTGAAGCTGAGTTTTACTTTCTTTGAATAGCAGTTAAATTTAATTTGCAGAGAAATTTTTTAAAAAAATATATAGAAAGTAAAAAATAGAAGCAACTTATGAATCGTTGCTGGAATGAGCAAAGGCCTAGAATATCTGAAAAAGCTACTATGGAGATGAACAGTATGAATAATCATCAGACAAATGGCTAGAAACCTGGATTTTCTGCTTCACTATCAAGTGCCTTGGCTTAGGAACTGTGAGCTAACGAGTGAGAGAGATCGGCGACGACATCTGCATGAATATCTTCCCAGGGCTTGGAGCTCCAAATCCTTAATTAAACTCTCCGTCATTGTTAGAATCTAAGGGCCACATGCTCCTGATATCTCTCTCCTTTTGTTGTTTGTTGGTTTTTGACTCAGTCAACTTAAATGTCCTTTCCGGCATGGGGATTGTAAAAGATATCTTCAAAAAAGTTTTTGTTTGATTCAAAATTAAAAAAAAAATGAGAAATTTGTGGAAAAGATCTTATTAAAAGAAAAATTATGCTTAAGCATTAAACAAAATATTTTATTCATTAAACAATCTAAATAAATGACAGAAACGCTCCTCTATTTAAACCAATAAAATTTGAAAAAAAAAAAAACTGTTTGTCCCACATGTGCACCTCAAATCAAAGGCTACCTTAAATCAAAAGCCATACATTCATACTAGAAGCCAGAAAAATAAGTTGTAATTTTTATTGTCATGGGTGTAACGTTTCTAACTTAAATGTAAAGCTTTTGACTTGGAGTGTATGCATTGAACATGTAGCATTTTTTTTTTCAATTTCATAAGTTTAAACAAAGGGGCACCAATCATTTGTTTAGATTGTCTAATAAATAAAATATTTAGCTTGGTCCGTGAATTCAACTTAGTTTTTGAGCATAATTTCTCTTTTAAGAAGGTTCTTTTCACCAATTTTTTAAATATATATATATATATATATAATCTCTCTATTTTTTTGTTGTTAGAAAAAAATATCACTTTTTTTATAGAAGCAAAATTATATATTTTAATAAATATTTATTATACATTTTATAAACCACCCCTCATAATTTATATTAATAAAAAATAATTAATACATATTTATATTAATTAATATAAGATATTTTAATTTAATGTTTTTATTTTTAAATATAATTATAATTAACTGACTTTTTTAAACTGTGGGATGTCAGTCGGTGGTCTGTCTCAAAGTTTACAAGCAATGAAGCAAGCCACGTAAGTACGAAGTAACTGGCCCAAAAGTATACATACATACATACATATACATAATAGCTGCACAAACTTTAATGGCTACAACTTAATGATGGTAAGAAAAGATAAAATTGTATGGAATGACCTGAATTTTTTCGTTGCCTCCCAAAAAAATTTCAATTGGCCCTGTTAATAAAAGAAAAAAGAGGTAAATTAATAAATCAGTTTTTAAATTATAGGGTTACAAGAAATATTAAACTTATTTTTTATATAATATTTTTTAATTTTTAAAAACTATACAATATGACTTCTATCATTAATAAAAATTAAATTTAACATTTAGTTGATCAAAAATTGATATAAAAAGGCTGGAAAAAAATACAAAAAAGACCAACAAAATTTTCTTAATCATTTTCTTTAATTTTTTGTATCAATATTTGTAGTTTTTAAGTCATATATTGTAATTTTTTTGATAATTTTCTATAATTTTTGAGGTATTTCTCAATTATTTGTTTAACTAATGGTCAAAGTTAATATTCATTAATGATAGGAGTAATATTACATTATTTTTTAAAAATAAAAGAAAAAATTATGTTAAAAATAAGTTTAAAATATTAAATACTCTTAGATTTATAATTTAAAAATCAATTTGCCATTGAATCAAAAAAAATAAATTCACTCACCTTTTTTCAAGTTTCTCTTATCCTCTAAAAATTTATTTAACTCAAATCGAATCTTTATGTTATAATTTCTAATAATGATAGTTTGAGAATGGAGGGAATAATAATTTGAAAAATAATTTATTTGTTTAAATAAATTTTTTTATCACAAGACAATTCCTCTGCTACCCAAGAGTAAATAAATTTTATTTAATAAAAAATTATTTATATTGGACAGATTTATTTGATACATCATTATAATTTTGTGCTTTATTCTTCAGTAATTATTTAACAAATTTATACTTCCAATATTCAAAAATTATCCTTTATTAAAAATAATTAATATTTATCTTGTGTAAAAATTTTGCTCTCACTATCTAATTTTTCTAGGTTTGTCACTAATATGACATTAGTTTCTCCCACTATGCCCCTATTTTATTTATTAAATTTTATTTTTTAAAAAATAATGTATTAAACATTTAATTTTAATTATTAAGATAGTTATATAGGATATTTAATGAGATTAAAATTTAAAAATGTAATTCCTTCTATCCTTATTGTAAAGCATCTTCTAGAAAGAATTGGTGGTCTTAAAGCACTAGGTGGTGATATTAATTATATTTTTATAATATTATATCTATTTAAACTTAATAATTATGAGAGATAATGTAATGTAAATTTTTAAAAAATTTATTTGAATATGGCTAAAATTGAAAGTTCATTCTTTTTTTAAAAAATTAATGATTTAATTACCTCTTTTAGATTCCAACAAGGTAATGAGAGGAGTCTTATAATAAAAATGAGAGAGAATAATTGTTTTTTAAGGATAATGCATACAAGATTTTTAGTATGGTGGATTTTGAGACAATTATAATTGAATGTAAAACATTTAAACATTTTGATCTAAAATAATTAAAAGCTTCACGTTTGAAAACAGGGAGTTCACATGAACCTTTTAATTATTTTTTATTTTTATTTATTTTTTTAGTTTCCTGCTTTTATTTATTATTTTTTTTCATTTTTTTAATCTTTTGAATAGGATGTTCAAAGGTTTGATTTGTTTTAGTTTTAGATGAGAAGAAAACATAATCTAGCGAATTGCTAATATTGGGTTCAAATTAATTCTCAAGAAAATAAAATTTTAATTTCTTGTCTGCTTTGGAATTTGGATCGAGGAAGGCGGTTATTTTGATAATCTCTAGTATTCTGTCATCTATGGGCTGATTAAAAATAGGCAGTAAGATATTTTTTTTTTTTTGGAAAATGATAAAAAACTTTAACGAAATATGTAAATAACAATTATGCATGGAGAGAAGAGATAATTATTTTTTAATCCGTAAAGACTTACCTGATAAATTTTTTTTGGTGAAATAACATATTTATCCTTGTTTTAAAATATGTTAGTGAAGTTCAACAAATAAAAATCAGTTATTATTTTTTTCGGCAGGAATGAGTAGTTTTTTTTGAAAAAAAAAATGATTAGAACAGGATAACAACTTACAAGTTATTTTGTGTAAGGTATTTTATTAGTGAAGCCTAATAACTAAAAATTAATTACTACTTATTTTGAGAAATCATTAAAATGGAATAGTAAATTAAAATGGTTTTGCTAGTGGAGTCAAACAATTAAAAATCATTTACTACTTTCTTTTGAAGAATAACTATAACCAGGGTAGTAAATTATAAGTTTTGTAATTATTCTCTTTATTAAAAAATATAAGATATTTTTATTTAAATTTCATCTTTAATAAAATAGTTATTTATTTTTAAATTAACTCCATCTTTTATACGTACTTCTATTTAATATGATGTTGTACTTTAAAATAAATATAAAATTATTTATTTATAATGGGCTCTTTTAAAAAAATAATGACTACATTTAAAAACACTAAAAATAACTTATATTTTTAAATAAAATGATAATTTTTTATTCTTCAGCAGGGTAAAAAAAATTTTCACATTAAAATTAATTGACAGATAAAATATTTAAAATTAAAAATAATTATTACATTTTACTTCTGCGAGTTATCATTGGCATATTTCGGGTATTTTCTGTCATTTTCCCTTTTTTTTCCTAATCTTTTTCATTTTTATAAAAGTAAATTTTTGATTTTGCCCCGAACAAGAAACCTAAGGCCTGTATATTAGAAACAGTAATAAAAAAATTCATTTGATAATGTATTTTTAAAAAGTGTTTTGAAGAATAAAAAAATAAAATATTATTTTAAAAAATAAAAAATAAAAATAACTTTTAAGTGTTATGTGATTTTTATTCTGAAAAATAAGAAAGAATAAAAAAATACTTATTTTTATTTTTTTTATTTTTAAAATATATTTTATAGAATATTAATTTTTAAAATTATAAAATAAAAACAATTTCAAACAACTCCCTGATTCCGCTAAGGCAGTCATAAATCTCCGAAATGCAAAAACCCAGAAGTAACAGATAGTGTCACGAATGGACGTGGAAGTCGATCCTCCAAAACCAGAGCAGCAACAAGTAGTCAAAGCAGTAGACATTTTCAAAGCCGCCGAGAATGGCGACGTCTCAACCTTCCAACCTCTCTCTCCAGTGAATCTCTCCGATGCTCTAGTTCTCCGAAATGAGGATGAACGTTCCCTTCTTCACGTCGCTGCTTCCTCTGGCCACTCTCAGGTCTTGATTTCTCCGTATTTCTCGATATTCCGATTCCTCTCTTTGTTATTTACTCGAAAATGTGGGTGGAATTACTGATGCTGAACCATATTGCCAACTGGCAAGGTTCTGGTTTCTCTTTGAGAGATTGAGTCCTTGTGGCTATTGGCTTCGAAGCTGCCCTAGATCCTTGTTTTATTGGTGATCATTTCCATCAATTTTATCATATCTTTTTTTGTTTTGATGTGAAATCAGGTGGTGAAGATCCTCGCATCTGCTGAGGGATCCGCAAAAGTGATCAATAGTGCCGATGAAGAAGGGTGGGCTCCGATTCATTCTGCGGCTAGCATTCGGAATTTGGAAATAGTAGAAACATTGTTGGATAAAGGTCCGTATTCTCATAAATGTTTGAAACTCCTACTTTCAGGCTTCATATTTTATTATTGGCAAATTCCGAATCATTCATTTCACTGTGTAAGACTTATCCTAGGTTTTCTCAAATCTCAACATATATCATTTACAAGGTAGAAGATATGTTTAAATTATTTCAATTGTTTTTCAACAGGAGCTGATGTTAATTTGCAAAATAATGGGGGGCGAACTGCTCTTCACTATGCTGCCAGCAAAGGTTGGGTGAAGATTGCTGAAATTCTCATCCCCCATGGTGCAAAGATCAATGTTAAGGACAAGGTTATGAGAATGACATCCTTGATACACTTGTGGATTTTTAGTTTTTTTTTTTCCCCATCTCCAGAAGCACATTGTCCCGGACCACTCATATAAGTGACTATTTGCATGGCTTAACTGTGATCAGGCTGGAAGCACCCCTTACATCGGGCAGCGAGCACTGGGAATTCCGAACTGTGTGAATTTTAATTGAGCAAGGTGCAGAGGTTGATGCTGCTGATAGAGCTGGTCAAACTCCACTAATGAATGCTGTGATTTGCCGAACAAAGAGGTGTGCTTGTTAAGTAATTTAATTCTGAGTACTGAAGATAGTAAAAGTTATATAGAATCTGTTTTTCAGAATAATATTTTAGGTATTCCTCTTCAGATTATTTTTGCCTTTTAATGGAATATAGCTCTGTTTGACGCCCCCCTCTGGTTCTCCCCCATGTTGATGTACTAGTGTAGGGTGCATAGATGAACTAATTCATGTTATAAAATTATTGTATCAGAAGCTTCAACAACTCGTTGCAATTAATGAATGTACTGGCATGACCGGTAGTCCTGTTGACCATAATCTTCTCCAAGCAAGAATTTGGTTTCAGATCCTCAGATGCCTGTGAAGATTCTGCTAATTGGATTTGATCATTATCAATAATGACCCATAATCCTCTCTTAACCTTCCAAGAAAATTGACATGTATATCACATTTTTTGTGCATCTTACTTGGTCATTCCACTCCTTTGACATGGTTGATGAATTTGTTTGCAACGTTGTCATATACTCTCTCCGTCCTTATATAAAAGATGTTTTTTAAAAGCTTATTTTGTCCCTAAATATAAGGGGTGGTAATAATATTTTTGAGTAATTAGATAATTTTACCCTTGTCTTGAAAAATGGAATAAATTATTAATTATATGTTTTTCCTACTACCATAATGATATTATTAGAAATAAAACTGAAAAATTATTGTATTTTTATGTGAGTTTAGCTAAATAACAAATTTTTATTAGTATGCAGGATTCTGTTAAAAATACCTTATGTGTAGGGACAAAGGGATATATGCAAGTGCATGTAGATTGTTTAATAATAAACTTTTGAATTTTGTTTAATTGTTCTTTGATGCGATTCTTCGCCGATCGTTCATGGTATCTGCATAAATGTATTCATCTTGAGCTAGGAGTCTATATATAGATGGAGTGGATTGATCGAAGTCTCATAATTTCAAGGGTTTAAATGTTTGATCATATGATCTGGGCTTGGGTTATTTTCCAGGTTGCTCTCCTTCTGATAAGACATGGAGCAGATGTAGATGCTCAGGACAAGGAAGGATACACGGTGCTGGGTCGAGCTCCCAATGAATTTAGACCAATACTGATAGATGCCGCCAAGACCATGCTTGAGGAATAAAAACTCTGATGGAGAATGAATAGGGATTATACCGAAGGCTGGTTTTCTCAGGGGACGAGTTTTACACATGGATCCTGGAAACACAAAAATGTTCATATTGTTGAAAAAAATTTTGAGGTTCGGAATAGATGAATAGTTTTTTCTTTTTTTTTTTTATGCTTAACTGTCAAAAGGGAAAATAAATACTCGTGCTCATGCTTCTTTTATTGTGGTTTTGCTTGGTATTTTATCCCTGTAATTTAGGTATGTTTTTCCATATGTTGCTTTAAGTTTGAAAAATGAGTTTGAGGAACGTAAACAAAGTTCACTACTCACCGCTACGCATTTCCTATTTATGCATAATTATTTAGAAAAAAAATTAAATTCATGAATAAAAGTTGATATACCAATATGTGAAGAAAAAAAAAATAAGTATAGAAATATGTAAGCGACATTTCTTAATTAAATCATTTTGGTTTGATTGGTATGTGCCGCGCTATGCCCAGTAACTTGCAGATTTATGGTTTATGGATATGATTACGCCGAGGATAGCTTGTACTATTCATTGCTAAATCACCTTAAAATTGATATTATATAATCTATGTATATTATATACATAATTAAAAAAGGAGGATTTGTATTAGAAATAATTTATGATTATACCATCAACAAGTTTGAAATCTACAGCTAAAAGTGCTGGACTAAATATTTGGTAATTAATAATGAAATACTGTATAATTATACTTGTAAAAAAAAGTATTGAGGTATTTAAAATTAGACTCATCATTGAACCGGTTAAGACTAGTTCAAGGATTAATAGTAAGGTATATAAAACACTTAATATCCATTAGTCGTTAGTGTATCTTATTATTTTTTTAATATGTTTGATCAAGTTAAGAGTCATTTTTACTCTTCAACGTCTATTTGAATGGTCAATTTTACTCTTCAACTTAAATATTTATATTAAAAAATATTAAAAATATGATGTAGGGTTCACTAACAATCAACGAATAGTGAGAAAAACAAGGTAATAATAGAGATAATTTTTAAAATTGAGGGATAAAATTGATCTATAATTAAGTTTAAGAGCATTTATAACCTTTCTTGTATTGTTTAGAAACAAAAATGATCATTAACTCTATATATAATAGTATAAAACTACAGTTTTCTAATGTAAAAATAATAACAATTGTGACCTTTTTTTTTTCTGCAAACCCAAAACCACAAGTTTGGGGACGTTTTCAACACTAGTAACTCAAAGTTACTCTAAAAAGATGAATAATAATAAATATAATTTATAAATAAGTCTCAATAATTTATTTTATCTAAAAAAATTAACTCTAACAATTCCCAACCTTCTCTATTTAATCTCTAAATTATTTTATTACCCTTAAATTAATTTCTATAAATTTTTTATCCATTTTTTCCCTCAACAAATTTTATAAAAACTCCTTATACTCAAATTCCCCCAAAAGACTAAAATTCTACCTCTAAAGTTTATCCTTCAATTTCCCAATTTCCCAGTTTCATATATTTAACAATAGTCCTTATATTCAACTGACTTATAAATACATTTAACCTCTAAAGAAATTTTATAATCTATTAGATCATAAATAAAATATTATTTAGTTATTGTAAGTCTCTGAACAAAAAAAAAATTATTATTGTAGAGTCCTCGAAATCAATTGTTTGGGTAAAATCAATCCATATATACTCTTAATTTAATCTTTGTAACTATTTTAACAACTCGATAATACGTCGCAAGCACCTAACTAATCAAAAATCTATTTAGTACTAAATTTTTTTCCCTATCGTACTCCAAAAATACGGAAAAAAATAAAAAAAATAGATCACTTATTTAATTTTTAAAAATTTTAGAATAGATGAATTAGACTTTTGGAATTTAATAGCATCCAAATAAAGTAAAGCTCCCATCTCATTACTGTCGCTCACCCCAGACCTGACTCTCCCCCACGAATGCGGCAAAAGATAAAAAAGAAGATGACAAGTGAGGGTATTATAAAAAAGTTAATATTAAATTAAAAATTTTGATACTAAAATATAAGAAAGGGAGTGCTGAATTTAAAAATTTTAATGTTAAAATTTAATTTGATATTAACTTTCTTATGTGGCACTTCCTCGTCAGCCTCCCAAATAAAATTGTGCGGTTCGTTGGCGTCAAATCAAAGTGGGGCTACAGGAGACATATAACCATCCTTTCTTTTCATGTGGCTTTTAAAAAAAAATATTTCAATCACGCATTCACATTCCCCCCCCCCAAAAAAAAAAAATAAATCACACATTCATATTCAAGACTAAATTTTTTTTTGAATATGGTCACCCGTGATGCTACAAAAAAACTAAAATCACGCATTCACATTGGAAAGAAGACGAAATGATATATTAAAAAAAAATTAATTTTTTAATCTTTCAACTTTTAATTTACTTATAATTCAATTTTTCAATTATAACTCACTGTGACTCAATCTTTTAATTATAACTTACCTATAATTCAATCCCTTAACTTTTAAATCACTTACAAATTAGTCTCTAAATTTCTATTAATTTTTTTATATTAGCTTATATCTCACGTCAATGAGCAAGATAAGGATATTTTAAAATAATATATGAACATTTTTATCTCTCTTATTTGATAAGAAATTTTTTAAAAAAATTAAAAAATAAGGACTGAGTTATGGGTGAATCAAAAGTTGAGGGATTGAGTCGCAACGAGTCATAATTAAAAAATTGAATTACAAGAAAGTGAAAAGTTAATGAATTAAAAGATTAATTTTTTTAATATTTAATCAAAAGTGGTGTCTGTGGGTCCCATGAAAATTTCACCCCTTTCAATTTCATATTTATCTTTACATTACAGTCTTAAAATAAAAGGAAATATTACCGGTAAATCTCTCCTTAGGGTCAAAATTGTGCTGAAAAATAAAAAAGAAAAACCAGAGTACAAGCAAATACACTTGAGATTTCACGACTTCTGGTTGCATCTCAATCTTTTGATCCTCTAACACAATTCTAGACTTACTAACAATTTTTTCAAAATAAAATTCTACTTATATGTCTTGCTTAAAAAAGTAGTCTTTATTATATTCAAAATAATACATTAAATGGAAAATATTTTAAAAAAACACGCACATATTTAGATATCTTAATCTCACTAAATCTTAAAAATTTATCTTTTACTTTCTAAAATTCTTATCTTGGAATTATATCCCATGTTAAGTCCAATTGCTATCAATTATATTCCTACGTTTTTATAATTAAAAAATATAATTTTTTATTTTTTTATTATATCTAAAATTTATTTTTAAGGAAAATCTAATCTTTAACTTTAAAAGAAAATCACATAAATATATTAGAAACAAAAAAAATTAATATTGTGATATTTAATAAAATTTAATTTCTTAAAAATAGCAGCAAAGTATTGGTTTTAAAATATCAATTTATAATTTAAAAGTATTGGATACATATTTAAAATTAAAATTTTTTAAAATTATAAAAAATAATATTTTAATATTTTATGAATATATATTAAAGAAGCATTGATGAGTATTGGATATATGAAATAATTTAAAGCATCAGTGCTTTATAGATTCCCACTCCTTAGTGTCCCTCTGGCGGCGGCAAATGTATGCAAAATATGGCAACTTCACAAAAGCAACGTTGTGTTCAAACTCTGTTTGGCTCCAAACAGAACCGAAAACAAAAATATGACAGAATTCATATAACATATAAATTTTTTATAATTAAATTTATAATTATTTGCATTTATTATTAAATACAAAGCTTGCATATATATATATAAATATCAAGTTATTTATTCTCCTAAAACTAACAAGTAGTTCCACAGTAAAAAAATACCTCTGTAAAAGTTTACAGAAATCACATATATACAAAAATATTAATATAAAATTCTAAGTCATTAAAATTATTTTAGGACCTTCAAGCTATCCTAGAGACCAAAAGTCTCTTTTAAATTTATATATATATATATATATATTGAATTATTAGAGAATTAAATATCATGTTATATTTTCTTTTAATGTAAAATTTATATTATGTTTATATTATATATGTATATATAGGCATTAACACAATTTGGTTTGACACATAAATTCACGTCATCTCTGTTAGCGTTGTAAATACGAAACTTCCAAGTGGTGTGTAAGTTTCCTGTGAGAGATGCTAATAAAACTGTGTCAGGCAACTTATCAGAAATCAATTCAGACAAATCTTTTACGTCTTAGAAAGGCCTTTTCGTTCTAGAAGCCAAACAGGGTACGGAGATGGCACTGTTCGCGTTTGCATTTACGCACGCAAGGTTGTACAAATATCTTCCAATTCTATTTAACCTAGTTTGATTTAAAATAATCTTGTCCTGTCCAATCTGTATAAATGTTGATCTTTTAGGATAAAAAAATTAAAAAAATCAAATTATTTCTTTAAGTTTGACACATTGAATATCTGAACTACTTAATCCAATTTAATTCTATTAATTTATATATTTAATATAATTATAATTAATTTATTTTTAACAAATGCTTCAAGTATAATTAATGTTAAGGAAATGATTATAT